CAGCAGAGTTTCGTGAACGAATTATATATCATCAATAGCAGACTGATAGGCCGCCAGTTCTTACCCCCCCCCCCTTCGAACAGAAGAGCTGTTTTCGATTCTCTCCAATGTTCTGGAGCCCTCCCCTGTATATGAAAGCTAACGTGGTAAGAAATTTATCACTACGAAGGCGCGGACATGCAGTAGGGAATCAGAAGGGGTTGATTGGAAAATAGCGAGGATCTTATAATAGAATGGACACACGACGAACGAACCAAGAACATGGTGACCATCCTTTCTGGAGGAGAACCACTGGCTTTACCATATGTTAACGAAAGAGTAGCAAAGAACGTGAATCCCGTCGTCGCCATCAAATTGTCACACCTTCCAGTCAGGCTAATACTCCGGCCACCTGAAAATCTAACAAGAGAAGGATAGCAGGTCGTAGCGGCCATATGAAATGAAATACATACCGGCTAAGAGGTTTTTGGACGAGGATTACGACACAGTCTTCCACATCAGCTGCGGACCTCCCAGAAAAAAGTTACGGAGCTCTCCAGGTGGAGCATACTCGCAATCAGTACGAATAAGTGGCGTAAAGCCAGTCCGATCACAGAAGCGTGGCCGAGAGGTTACGTCATAGGGCTCTCAAATGCGGGGTTGAGGGTTTGGACCCTTGATGCGTGTTCGCTTTCGCATTTTTTCGAGAGTGGTCACCCGAAAGCGTCTTCGCATAGCTCCTGTGCTTGACAATGTGTGACGTGTTTCTGAGCTAATGGAGCCATTGCGAACGATTCCATAGAGAACATTTTTGGCTGCTAACTTCTCCTTTTATTGATTTGAAGCAATATTGCGCAACAACAATTTATTCCAACGAATGAGCCTGCCATGAAAAATGGCTTTTTTCTTCAAACGTCATGGCTGGATCTGAAATCGCAGGAAGTTGTGCGCAAAGATGAGTATACTTGGAAAGGCTTCCACACGACGTGACTTTGACGCGACAGCTTTGCCAGAAATCATGATGGGTGTACCTTTGTTCATCATCACATAGTGTTGAAGGATATTCTATCCCAAAGTGGTGCTTCTGCACCGGCTGGAAGTCTTCGGCCCGTATGACAACATCATCAGCCAAAAATGTTCGTTCGTGGCTCCATTATTTCAGAAACATTACGTCAGGACAATATCAAGCACAAGAGTTATGCAAAAACCCTTGGGGTGCACAGAGACCATTCTCGGAAAAACAGAGCAAGAAGCCAAACCCCCAACCACGCAGTGAGCCCTACGATGTAACCACTCGGCCACGCTGCTACGATCGCATCAGCCTTCGCCGCTAATTCGCATTCGCTAGTTTGCTAAATGTGAATATGCCCCCCACTCCTAAAAAGCTCCGTACCCTTTTTCTGGGAAGCCCGCAGCTGATACGGAAAACGGTTCCGTAAACCCCGTCCGAACATCTTTTAGTGGGTATACATTTCATTTCAAATGGCCACTTCGACTGACATCCTTCTCTTGCGAGTTTGATTAGGGTCGCTTTTGCCAATTTGGAAACAGTTCACCCGGGCATACTTGATCTATATTCACAATATTTCGAGACAAAAGTTAAGGAAAGTTGAGTGATAATTTGATAGAAAATTCCAATTATTTGGATTGTTCCAATTTTTTCCCGAAGCTGTAGTTTAAAAGTGTCGCAGGGAAGCGTGTCCGCATTGCACCGTTCAAGACTGGGACCTTGACCGGACGCTCATGTGAATTGGCACCTAACTGAAGCGCAGATATAGATCTTTTTGCGGTGCAGTAAACAAGATGGCTCAGTTGTAAGTGAGGGAGATTGATCGCGGCTTCAAAGCCATTCCTTGTAGCGAGCCATGAAGATTGTTCTTGCTGACGAGCAACGATGTTCCACTTCTTTCCTGCATGTGCACCGCAGAAGGAATGCACTGAACAATCGAAGAACGAGTTCTGGACTCTTCCCGAGGAGAAGACGGCCGAGATACCGTCAGAAAATGCTTGTCAGGCATCGTGATCGAGGGCTTGTCGAAGACGTGAAGACCGTACCGTATAAGACGCAGCCCTGCAACACCCGCTAACTGTAGGATGAAGATAACACCGCCCAGCCGAAACAGGAGTGATGTGGTCCCGAAAAAAATCAAATGAAAAGGAGGTAGCTGTGATGTCTTGCGTTCGATTACTAACCGTTACAACTGCCGACGATCGGGAAAATGCTGACAAAGCGACAGTCCAGATCGCTCGCTTTTGGCACAACGAAACTTGGAAGGCCTAGACAACAGGCATGGTTGTGGACTGACGAAGTCAGGCAAAAGATTTGCGAGAAGAAGCTAACACTTCTTTCTTGAAGACAAGTCAGCCGACAAGTGGTGGACATACACCAGGAAGCAGAAAGTGCGCCAAAGAAGACTCTGGCTATTGCGAAAACCACTCACATTCGAGATGTTAGCAAGAAGCTGGACGCGCGTGATGGCGAGCGCTCATTTATCGGCTTGCCAAAGATCGTCACCGCCAGACCGAGGATACAGAGAAGTTCTTTGGCATCAGTGATGGGAAGGACCGTCTTCTGATGGATCAAGAGAAGGTGCTTCAGCGATGGCGCGACTATTGTGAGGAAATCTTTACGACAGAATATACATCCGGCCATAACTTGTGCCTCACCAATATACGGTCCACCATAAAATAGAGCGACTCGCGATGAAGAAGATGAAGACAGGCAAGGGAAGAGGCTCCGATGAAGAGGCGGGCAAATTCCGAAAGTCACACTCTGGTACTCTGCCGAATGGTTGATGAAGCTATTTAACCAGATCGTTGCAGAGAAGAACATGCCCCAAGCAAGAGAACACGACGGTTCGATTCGGAGAAAAAAGGGCAGCCCTGCAGACTGCGCATGCTATCGTCCAATTCGCCTGCTCTTGCACAGCACCAAGCTCTCTGCCAACAAGTATGACTTCCTGACCGGCTATGGTACCGTGGGTGCCATGCCACACATTCTACTCGATTCTTGCTGGAGAACATCGTGAGGGAGAAGGCATCCGATCGTGTCCCGCGCGGCTTTATATGGTATCCCTTACGACAGCACGGAGTTCCCGAAGAGCTGGTTGAGTGGGTACGCATCTTACACTCCAGCACAAGGAGTCGTGTGCGAAGACCAGCATGCATTTCGATGAATTATCCATCACAGTTGGGGTGCACCGAAGATCTGTGCTTTCCCCGCCGCTCTTCGTTGTCGTCATCGATGCCATTTCACGACCCTCCGAAGCCGACTCCACACTGAGACGTCAAGAAAACCGAGTAACCAACTACTGATCCGGACGAGTTTGATTCCTTTGAGGTTAGAGGCAGTGTGCTAACGCGTACGACAACCTCCAAATATCTCACATCCAAATACGTCTAGCGGTAGTCTGGACTCGTAGTGAGCGCTTGTGTGAGTGCTGTCTGGTCTAAATGGCGATCTATGACTGGCGTTCTTGACGACAAGACCCATAGACACTAGAGCGCCTCAGGTCGAAGATCTGTAGAACCATCGTTCGACCTGCCCCAAAATACCGCGCTGAATGCTGGCCCGCGACCTAAGCATTTGAAGCCCGCCTTGGATTGATAGAGATGAAAATGTTGTGCTAGACGGCCGGACGCGAATGGATCGTCCATGCAATGACGAGGGGAGAGGTTCGGTGCAGCTCCTGTTGAGAAAATGTGGTCAAGAAATTTCGCGAAGCTCGCCCATGGTCCTGTGGTGCGCGCGAGTTCTCACACTGTCCTTCGGCGTTTACACCCCACGTACTGTCCGTAAGACTAGCTTCGAGCTCGAGTTGTTCGGAAAGCCATCTAAGGAACCCCAAGCAATGCTGGCTAACATGTTCCATGCGGACTTGGAGATATTAGGTCATCCCATTCAAAGTGGCCGACACATATAGAGGAATGGCAGAAAAGCAAAGGGGATAGAGCAGCGGGCTACTATACCATTTGGAAGCTAGTACCTTAAGCTGTGTATCTGTGAATTTGGCGAACCTAGCCTCTGAAAGTTCTCGAGAAATTGAAGAGAAGCCCGAGTGGTGAAAATCGGCGCCGGTTTTTCAAATCAGACGTCATAAAAGGAAAGTGCGCTGCTCAAATTTGACCTGCGCCGGACCATAGTTGTGTGTAAGGGTGTTCTCGAAATACACGGTGGAAGATCTGGTTCAGGAGCCCGTACAAGGAAGAAAGGAAAAAATTTGTTGTCGTGGGTGGTCCCATAATATTCATCCTGCACAAGAAGAACGGGTGGATGAAGTCAGGCACTGGAATATCTGATCACAGAGCCTGGACCCTTGTCGAGCTTCCCGCGAGTCTGACATCCCAGCTGCAACTGCTGCCCGAGTTATGTCCGATAAACTGAGGATGGTCAAGAGGGTGGCGCATGGGTACCCAATTTTCTTATAGAAGCACGAACGCAGTACCGATTCTATACCTCCAGCAGTAATGTTCTCAGCATGAGATGTGGGCGTTAGGAAGGGAGCGTCTCTGAAGTCGTAGCATGTGTTGCAACAACACT